AGTGGTTTCAGTGATGCGTGAGACGGGCAAAGCCTGTTGCCCATCATCGTGCGTCCCTTCGGGGCAGAGCTCATGCCGACAAGGGGACCCCCTCTGCGTGTGTGATCTTCCAGGGAGCCCCTGAGCTTCCTGACTGTACGGGCTGAGGCAGACCATGACCCCTCACGCAACTCCTGTCTACGCATCCCAAGTTCAAGACTTGGTAGAGGCATCAAGAAGCCCATTTGGCTTTAAGCCCGTGCAAGCTTCTTAAGTCTAGCAACAAAGCCCACCTTTTGATTCCTGCATGACCCCTGTGTGTATTCACCAACGGATCTGGAATTACCCCCCACACAATGCAGACTGGATGCCTGAGTGCAGCTGAAGGACAAGAGGGTGGAGCGGACGCTGGGAAACCCTGGGCCGGAGCACTTCTCTGGAGGGGAGCTAATGCTCCCACTGCTTGCAGCCGAGACTGAGGCAAACCATGCCAGACCATGAGTAGTCTTTCTGCGTCCAGGGCTCTGGGCAGGAAACGAAGGGGTCGTTCCACATCTCATCTCCAGCCGCTGGGCGCCAGGACCCTGGACTGGCGTTCCCCCACAGAATGACACTGTTCCAGGCTGCCTGGGGGCCTCCGCGTTTTTTCACCTCCCCCACCAGGAAGCACATGCGTATCCCCAAAGAACTCCTTTTAAACCGATTATTGTGTATTTACAGTGAGCATAATTACACCTCATTACTTAATTAGCATGACTGCACGCAGCTACCGAGTCGGCGACGGCAGAAAGCACGGAGCAGCTGAGGCCGCGATGCCCCGTGGGGAGGCAGGTCGTCCTGGCGCGGGGCGACGGACAGGAGAGCGTGCCTTTGGGCCAGTGGGTCACAGCTCCAAAGTGCATGCTCCAAATGTGTAGCCTTTTCACGTCATTTGGGGGAAACGACGTCATTTGATTGTTTGTTTCTTCCTGGGACAGAGGGAAGAAATGACAAAATGCCTTGTGCAGATCAGGCCCTGGTCTGGGGTCTCGGGAGCCAGCCCCAGCGGAAGTTGACGTCTAGGCTCTGAGACCCTCGGGACGAGCTCCAGGACTGGCAGGCTCACTTCCCAAGACATCCCCTTCCGCATCACCGGCTCTCTCTAGACAGAGAGGAAACTGGTGATGAGCCCAAATAATCCTTCCCTCCTGGGCCTCACCACGTCTAGCACCCCAGGATTCTCAGGGGCCTCCTACTATTCTAATTGGATCTAAAAACAGGACTGGAGAAAGACCCACGGGGAACGATCCGAACTCACGTTCATTAAACATGTTGCCTGAAAGACTGCCCGGCAAGCAGGGCCTGGAAAGACCCAACCAAAGGAAAGGGCTCAGGGAAAACCTCCCCATTTCCTTCACCGAGATGCGACCCACGGTTCCCCCGATGGGGGGACCCGCCAAGGTCCAAGCAGCAGAATGGAGGAGGGGAGCGTCAGAGTTACCCACCTGGCCTCAGCCCCAGGCTCGCCGAGTCACCCGCAGCCCAGCCTGCCCCCTGAGCCCACCACGCGGAGCAAACGGCCAGCCCCCTCTCTTCTGCTGGAGGAAAACACGGTGGGCTCATGCTGCACCAGCAGCAGGGGCCCCTGTCTCCCAGGCCAGGGGCCCCTTTTCTGTATTTCTGCTGAAAGTCCGTTATATGGCACCGGGTGGCTGGGAGTAAGCTCCCGTCACCACCCTGCACTCGGCGGAGTTTGTGGGCTGTAAAATGACAGAAATCTGTATGGCGCGCTCTGTCGTGCTGACGCCCCATCACTAGGCGCCACCGCACACAGAGGCTCTGAGGTCACGGCGCAGCCAGGAGACCGGCCCGGGCAGCGGCTCTCCTGGAAAAGCCGAGCTCCGCGGCCAACTGGCCCAAAAAGGAGGAGACAAGCCGCTCGCTCCCTTCTGAGGGAGGAGTCGTGGGTCCTGCCCAAAGGGACACAGTCCACAGACCAAGCAGCGCCAGCTCTGGTGACCCCCGTGGAGGTCCTTGCCTTGTAAGCCAGTATGCTGGGTGCGGGGTGGCGGGGGAATGCATCCCGAAGGTGCCCTGAGCGGGGAGGGGACCCAGGCCCTTCCCACAGCTGCAGTGCAGCCGAAGAGCGGTGAGGTGGGGGGGGGGGGTTCTCCACTCTGTCCTGGGCCCGCACCAGAGGGCCTGGCACCAAACAAGGGCTCCATGTGGGTGCGCTGACTGCCTCAGGGGTGAAGGAGAAAGGGGGCTGGAGGGAGCCAGCAGGGACGGGGTACGGACTGCCCCGTGAGAGCGAGGGGCCGTGGAGACCATGCCCGGGCGGAGCCTCCCGGTCAGCGGAGGAGCAGACCTAGGCAGCATGTGAACAGGCACCCAGCCGGGAGGGCGCGGAGGTCAAACACACACCCGTGGTTAGAAGTGCAGAGCCTCATGGGGAAGACGGGATCGGCGAGGGAGGCCTGAAGGCCAGGGCCGGCTGAAAACAGCCCACGGGGAGCGAGACGGCATTGGCAAGGCCTTGGGGACCCCAAAGAGATGCCCGGGAGGATGAGGGCCAGCGGAGAGGGGGCGGGGGGCTGGGTCGGCACCATGGAGAAGCAGGAGGATGAGCCACAAGGGTGCGAGCAGACTGGCCAGGGAATCAGGGGTGGGTTTGTCGAGAGCGGGGTGATGGGGTTCTGACCCAGGAGAAGTCAGAGGTGAAGTGCGCTCGCCTGCCCGGCGCTGGGTGCTGGCGTCAGGGAACACCCGGTCCCACAGCGCTCCCCAGGGCTCCCACCGCCTCCCAGGGCCCAGAGGGAACTCGGAAACGCCTCGCCCACGCACCAGATCCACCCCCTCCGGCAGCTGTGCCAAGAGCCAGAGCCGGGTGTCAGGGACTCACCAGGGTGCAGGCGGGACCCAGCGCCCCCGGCGCTCGCTGAAGGGCACGCAGCCCACCCTCGGCACCCCTGGAGCCTGCACGCGAGACTTCACCTACGTGCTCAGGGTACGTGTAGCACCCACGAGGGTGGCACCTTCACAGCCATTCACAGACATGCCGGGCGGGAGCAGCGGAAAACCCGGATCGCCCACCGGGCGAGTTCCCGACGGAGACTTCTTGTGCTGGCTTTCACGCCGAGAGCCATCGACCTGGCTGTGATCCTCGCAATGCCACTTCTTTGTGTGCGCATCTGTGCTCTCCGTGAGTGGCTTCTCGGTTTGAAATGACCCCCAAGCACAGTGCGTCAGTGTGGCTACTGTTCCTAAGAGCAGGAGGCCCACGTGCCTCGCGGAGAAGGTGGATGTGTTCGGTAAGGCGCGTGTGTTAACGGAGCTTCCTTCGGGCACGGGTCACAGTGCTGCTGTCCCCCAGGGCAGCGTTCCCGAATCGACAAAGCCTGTTCAGTACCGCATCCCAGCACAGAAGCACGCACAGAACAGGCCACGCCTTCATTGGTCAGCTGATAAGAATGTGGTGACCAGAGGCTGGCAGGACACCGACCCTGTCCTTCCCCTGGAAGGAATGGCTCCGGTCCCCTCACCCAGCACTCATGGCGATGCCGCAGAACAGAACTACCACCAAGAGTGAGAGTCCATCGTGCACTGGACACAGCAGCGCCCAGGCCTCTGCTCACTCGTGGGCATCGCTCTGGAAAGCGGCCTGTACCACTACTGTACCGGGAGGCTCTCCTCCCGCCCCTCCTGGGCAGCCCGGGGCGAGCCCGACCCCCCGAGGCCAGCGCTTCAGCCGGAGCGGAGCCCTTCTCTGCACCGCGCCCCTCACTCTGCCTCGGAAGCCCCGGGGGTCCTGCTGCGCCTTCCCGGAACACTGCAGGGGCCTCCGGCAGGCCCTGACCCGGACTGTGGGGCGTCACTCACTCTTGGGAAGCAGATGAGGACCTCGCTCCCACTCAAGCCCAGCCCCTCCCTCTCAATCCTCCCCCTAAAACCCCAGCTGGGAAAACAGAGGCGGAGATCGGCGGGGCCGAGGGCCCCCTCTGCGGTAAGACGGTCCGTGGGAGCAGCGGCGGCTCTGTGAGCTACAAAGAGCGAGTGCGGCCCAAGCACAGAGAGCTCGGCCGGCGAGAGCGAGAGCGAGACCGGCCGTCCTTCTACCTAGGCCGGCCGAGGACCAGCGAGAGACGACGGAGAGAGCCGACTGGCAGGAGCCTGGGGACAGAGCAGGGAACCCCCCGCCCCCCAGCTCCTCTGCTCTCCTGCCCTATAGTGAGCCCTGAACCTCGCCTGTCTCTCTGTCCCTTCCTGCTCTGAGGCCTCTGTGCGACCCTCTGCAGCAGCGACCCCTGGGGGGCGGGGCAGGGGCATGGGAGGGCAGGGGCCGCACTGAGCTCCAGCTGGGCCCAGACTGAACCGGGGGCACGCAGCCAGGGGACCACCGGCTGGTTGGAGGGCCGAGCCCCGGGGGCCCCTGGAGCCGGGAGCAGCCCCAGCAGGGCCCAGCGGAAACACGGAGAGGGGCTGGAGCCGATGCAAGGGGGAGGCGAGGGCGAAGCCGGCACCCGGAGCCCTCCGACCTGAGTGAGGGTCTGCAGTGGGGAGGTGGGGGGCCCTGGCCCTGCGGTCGGGGCGGGTTCTCAGCAAGTGCACGCTCTCGGGCCCTGGAGGGGCACTATGGAGGTGTTGCCACCTGAGCGGGGCTGACCTCTGCTGGAGGCTCGGGTGCAGGGGCTGCCGCCCTCAGGGGCTGCCGTCTGCACAGAGGTGGGCGGCACTTCCCAAACTCCCAGGCCAGGGCTGCACAGGGACCAGCCCTGTGTGTGCCCCCGCCTCAGGGGGAGCGCCTTTGCACGGCGAGGGGCTCCTGCCTCCAGGCTGTTCCCGGGACTCACCCCCCGCCCCCCACAGTCGATCCTCTCCCCCAGGCTAGTCTTCACGTTTTGAGACACACAGGGAGGGACTCTCAGAGGGCAGGAGGTTAGCAGGTCACAGGTCACCCCAGAAGGTTCCAGAACCCCAGCTACAGGGCCTATCGCCACACCCCCTCCCCCCGAGAAGGGGCAACGCTCCACTCCAGTACTCACACGTGTCCGGGTTGTGGCAGTTGTGTCCCTGGCGGAAGTACTGGGGGTTCTCGATGACCGGGATGCGGGTCATGCCGATGACCACCGTATCAGGCCCGGCATCCAGCGACGAGGGGGTGGTGATGCCGTGGTTGATGTGGTGCAGCGGGCTGGCCGAGTCCTCCTCCCCGCTGATGACGGCCACGGGACCTGCGCACAGCGAGAGAGAGACATGGGCCCCGGTGAGGCCACACCCGCCAGCGCCCGCCATTCTGCCGCGGCACTTCCCACAGCAGCAGGGTCCATCGGGGGACGGTCCCTGCAGGCCGGGGCTCTGCGTTCAGAGACGCGCACTCTGCGTCTCTCCCGAGGAAGGAAGAAAACCCACCGCGTGACCCCATGAAAACGCAGAGCGAACCGAAAAGACGATGAGGTCTGTTATGTTCGCGTTCCCCAGATCCAAGTTAGTTCCAACAAGAAAACGTCTCAAGTAAGTTTCCCTGCCTACATAGCAACAATGGGGTTTAAAACTTAAAACATCAAAAAGCCCCGCAGGAGTGTGCACACTGTCCCTGCAGGGACTTTAAGAACGGCCAGTGCTGAGTCGTCTCACCCTGAGCTCCCCGCCACCCCCCCACCAAAGATTCTCATCGCACTGGTCGTGGGCTGCAACCTGGGCGTCTGGATTTAAGGGGTTCCGTGTGAGTTCCACGCACACCGGGGGTCTGGAACCCCGACTAGGGCCTCGGAGGCTGAGAGCCCGGTGGCTGCCTGATGCTCATGGAAGCGTGACAACATCTGCACCCGACTCTGCCATCCACTGTCCCCGCGCATGGGGAGACAAGCCCCCTGTGGGCCCGAGTCTGGCCCAAGTGGCTCTTGAGAGTGACAGTAAGTGGGCTGCATCACGATCAGCCCGCAGGCACCGGGGCCAGCCGTGCCACTCGTGGAAGGTCTGGATCCCTGGAGGCCTCGACGAACACCATCTGCACCTTTGCCGACCCCGACCCCGCCACCTTCTGCCCCAAAGAAGAAGCACAGTAAACACGGTTATTCACAAACACGGTCGACAGGGATATTTAACGGCGGGGTCCAGGCTGGGCCGTGACTCTGTTTGGTGGTCCAGTCCTCCCACAGACACAAGTAAAAGTCCTATAAAGCAAGAGGCCGTGACCGTCTGTGGCTTCACACAACTGGCGTGTTACACGGCTGCTTTGCGAGACACGTGGTCGGTCCCCAGACAAAGTGCCCAGTGTGATCTGGTGTTGCGGCCTGAACGATATTCCCACTGCCGAAATCCGCCGTGTCCTGCCAAATTTGACGAGGGGAACACTTCTCACCGAATAGCGAGGCGGAGCCCCGACGAGGCGGCACTAAACGGAGGGCTGGCCCACGCGAACCGAGGCCCCAGAATTCCGTCCCGCCAGCGTGGACAGGCAGTCCCTGACCCGCCCGCCGCTCGCCGTGGGAAAGCAGGAGCGGTGAGAACTGGCCCAGATACTCGCAGGCAGCACGCGCCTTGCAGCAAGAGGCCTGCTCCCGAAATACCTCCCTAGCCAACCTTTTGAAAGACTTCAGAGGGACTTCCCATGGAGCACAGAGGGCGGAGCGCTGGTCTTTGCCCTCCTTCCCTCCCCACAGGCCACCGGGGCACGAACAGACAGCTGTGCCCGAGGAGAAGGCAGAGGGGAGACGAGGGGGACCCGGTCTCTCCGCAGCGTTTGGAAGGCGAGAGACCGAAGCAGAAAGCTCCCTCGTGAGAGGAGGAAGCTGCTGGAGACGGGCCGGGGGGACTGCACAGGGAGCACTCACAGGACGTCATGTCCGCTGGGGGGGCCCCCCGTGCGAGAAGGGACGGGAGACCCAGGAAGGCTGGGCTGGAACAGGGCACCCAGCCCATCGCCTTACCCCTATCCCACCAGAGCCAGTGGTTCGGTCCCGGAGAAACTGAACCGGGAAGGCTCAGCGAATGGCTGGGGTGGAGTGAAAAGCTGGACCCCTCCTCCCTGCCCCTAGAACAGAAGCCAGGAATAACACTGCCTACCCATCCGCCCCACCCCCAGACTCCTCTGACACCACCCCCTGCAGGAGACTAGAGAACACTGCTCTGGAGGAACCGGAGCCTCCTGGCATGGGGGGCCTCCCCGTGAGGTCAGGCTCACCCCGAGATGGTGCCTTACGGCAGCCTGAGTGCTGATAACCCCGCCCCTGTGCCCAAAGCACGACCTCACTCGCTCTCTGGTGCTCCTGCTCTGAAGACGTGGCCCGGGCCCACCAAACACTCCAGCAAAGCGTCAGCGTGACCGGGACCTGGAGGCAACTGGGGGGACGAAGCAAGAAGCAGCAGACTGCTCGCGCAATCACTAGTGTCCTCGGGGAGGGGTCAGTGAAGGCACCGCCCCCAGGGAACACGGTGGCACTGGAAACGCGAACAGTGAAAGGGCAAGAAAAATCCCTGGGAAGCAAGACCATCCGACTCTGACAGCCAGAGCAGAGTGGGAGACAGAGACAAGGGTGTGCTCCAGAAAGCCACACAAGAAGGAAAGAGATGGTAGATAGGGCAGAAAAGAAAATGAAAGGCTCCATCACCCAGTTAAAAGGAGAGAGAGAAGGAGAATGAGAGAAGAGAAAAGAAGGAAAAAAGAAAAAAACAACTAGTAAAAAAAGTTTGAGCGTGGGGCCTGAGTGAGTCGCTTCCCTAGACTCCCCCAGGTGGACTACTGACCATCTCTGCCTCCTCCCCCGACCAGCGCTGCTGACCCCTCTCCTCAACTCAACGCCCATCATCCCCCCGCCGCCACCCCGAGGCCCTCAGGCTCGCCTCTGCCCCCCCACAAACCCCGGGCCTTCCCGGGGAAGCCGACACAGCACACGCAGCCCCATCAGTTCAAAGGCTGGGAGAGCAGGCCAGCAGCGGAGTCCAGCAGGGCTCCCCCACAGGCTGTGCCGGGTACTGCAGGATATTTCGCAAGAACATCAACTCTGGGGTTCATCGGCCGTAATAAATGGACCCTCTGGTGGGGACAGGGATGATGGAGGGTGCTGTCCGTATGTCGGGAACATGGGAACTCGCTGTACTTGCCACTCAATTTTGCTAGGACCCTGAAACCGCTCTAAAAAAATAAAGCCTAGTAAAAAAAAAAGTGTAAGAGACAAAAAGCCGGTCTCCCCACCTGACAGACAACCCATTTCCAAACAACCCTGGGTGGACAGACCCGCCCCAGGCCGAGGGTCACAGACTCTCCGGCCAGCCTCCACTCCAGGAGCCGCCCCCAGCTCCAGCCGGGCCTCCGGTCAACCGCCTCCGGAAAGGGGGGTCTCCTCTCCAGACACCGGCAGCCCCTCTGCAGAGGAGGCCCCTCCCCCTCTCCCCACAGAGGAGGATGTATTAAGATGAGAAGGGAGGGTAACAAAGGGGAGCATCTCAGCTGTCCGGGACTCCTTCTGCTTTCCGGAGCTGCCCAGGCCTAGGGCAGGTCGGGGGGAGGAGCCGGGCTTGCTGTCCTCAGAGCCTGGTGCCCGCGGCGCGCCCCTCCCTCCCTCCCTCCCTCCGCTGTCACCGATAGGTTCCTAACTGCACACTCGCACCTCGTGAGGTAGCACTAACAGAGGAAAGAGAAACGGCCTCACGGCCTTTCTGGCGAGTCCAGGCTTCTGAGAGAGACCCCTGAGGGTGCGCCGGTCTGTCCGGACGCAGCGCAGGGCTCTCTGCCCACACTGGCGCCTTTGGTCCCCTCTCTCCGGCCTCGGGGGGTTCTGTTCTTCCAGCCAGACCACAGCGAGACCATTAAATAATTAGGGGGCGCCTGACGGCCCCCGACTGGGGTGCTGCCCAGCGGGATGGTCCAAGCTGTCTTTTTGGAATCTTTCCCTTTCCCTCCCTGCTCCTGCTGTGGGGAGATCGAAGGGGGCAGCGGTAGGAATTGCTTGGATTTGCATAAGGGATGGATGCCAATGCGGGACTCAGTTTCCCCCAGACAGCAAAGGCCTCCGATGAGACCACGAGAAGGAACATCACGCAGCAGTGGGCAGAGGAGCCAGGGGCCGCACACCCCCACGGGGGCGGCAGGGACAGGGCAGAATCCTGTGGTGACGCGGGGTCCCCTGCCAAAGGTGAGGAGCGAGGGGGTGCACCTCACAGAATGAGGGCGGGAACAGCAGCAGCCTCCCTGGGGTGCGTGGGCACCTCAACACTCCCTGCCCCTTCGGGTCTCCGGGGTGCCCCTTGGGACCACTCCCCATTGCCCCGCCCTCACCACTAGACCCCCCCCTCCGGGGTTCTACCAGCCCCCTAACTTACAAAACATCAACACCTCTCAGAAACTCGGCCCCCAGAACGTCCCACCACTGGGTCGGTGCTGCCACGCCCGCCCCCCCGCAGCTCCCCCCAGAGGGCTTGCACTCCTAAGGATGTGGTTATTACAGAAGAAAGGGGGGAGGACAAATAAACTGTCATTTATTAAGCATCTACTACACGCCAGATAGGTTGCTAGGCATTCTGATCTCGTCTCATCAGATCCTCAGGAAATACTGCTGTGCCCATCCTGTCAACTCGAAGACTGGTTCTCAAGAAAGCTTAGTTTTCCACAGGTCATTCAGCCACGAAGAGATGCAGCCTGTATCCGACCCTATGTTCGTCTCCGAAGTCCTTCTTCCCACAAACCAGCCATTCCCAGCGGCATGGCTTGCACCCAGCATGCTTCATAAACAGCTAGGATTTGGTGTGAAGTCACAGCCCATAAAACAGTCCGAGCCCTCTGGACCAAGGCCTCTGGGACCAGACCACCACGTGTGTCCCAGGCTGGACCGCCCCGTACAAGGTGACGCTGGGCAGCCAAGGCCAACGTTTATGGCCAAACTGCAAAATCTTGGGGCCCAGACCCATCCAATTCTATATTCTTTCATCTAGCCCCGAACTTCCTTCCAAAGGCAGGGTCTCCACCTCAGCCAGTGGTGCAGAAGACACTTCTGGGCGCCGTGGCCGTCCATCACGGCCGTGGTTCACCAGGCGCCCCCAGGCACCTGCAGGGGCTGCCATTTCTGCCCCCAGGCACTGGGCGTCGGCTGCCCCATCACTGTCTCTGGCTAATGAGAAGCGAGCAGAAGCAACACGTGTCCCTTCCACGCGGACCCAGTGCGTCGCCGTCACCTCACCCCTGTCCGAAGGGCTCTAGCATCAAGAAAACCAATGAACAAGCACTGGTGAGGAT